TAAAAAAGAGAAGTGAGCAGAGAGACAGGGGGACCTCATACCACCAAGAAAGCAGTGCCAGAAGCAGAGCATGTCCTTTGGACCCGGGGTCCCTGTGCGGAGAAGCTCCTAATCAGGGGGAACACTGATGAGAAGGCCAACAGTGAGAGAAAGCCTTTCCCTGGAGCTTATGCCCTGAATTTGGACTTTTAGCCTACTTTACTGTGAAGAAATAAATTTCTCTCTGTTAAAGCCATCCACTTGTGGGATTTCTGTTGTAGCAGCACTAGATGACTATGACACACATTAATATCTATTTTTCTTTTTTAAGACCACTGATTCTTTCTTCTGTCCTCTCCATTCTCCACTGAGCTTAACCATTGAGTTTTAAAAATTTTAGTTGTTGTATTTTTCAGCTCTAAAATTTCCGTTTGGTTCTTCTTTATAACTTCTTGTTGGGACTTGATTTTTTTTTTTTTTTTCAATTCGTTGAAGCATGTTTGTAATTGCTCATTGAAGCTTTTTCATAAGGGCTGCTTTAAAATCTTTGTCAGATAATTCTAACATTTGTATTATGCCAGGGTTGGTGTCTGTTTACTGTCCTTTCTCATTCAAGTTGAAATTTTCCTGGTTCTTGGTATGATGAGTGATTTTTAATTGAAATCTAGATATTCTGGGTATTGTTATGAGACTTTGAATCTTATTTAAATTTTTTGTTTTAGCAGGCCTTCTGTGACACTACACTAGGGATGGAAGGAGAAAGCCACCACATTACCACCAGCTGGGATTAGACATTCTGGTTCCCTACTTGGCCTTTGTTGACCCCACAGGAATGGAGTGGGAGAGGTACCTTCTTACTGCTGGGTAGAGGTCAGAGTTCAGGCTCCCCAGTAGGCCACTGCTGATAGTACTCTGGTGCCCTGTCTTTCCTATGGACCCATAGTCCCTAGCTACTCTGCCTTCTTTCTCCATATTTCAGAGTCTTCTTATATTTGTTTTATATATTGTGCAGGACTTCTGATTCTACTTTTTGGGAGGGGTA